CCCCCCCCCCCCCCCCCCCAATCTAATTTCTGACAGATTGGAAGCCCATAAACGGACATCGAAAAATGGGGGAAACGAGATGCTTCGAATGCTGCAGGAGAAGGAAGTGGCTCTGGCAACTTTGGAGCGGCAGTGCCGGAAGCTCAGTACGCAGGGAGAGGAGCTGGAAGGGAAGGTCGAACAACTTAAGGATGACACCGCGTTGTACAAAGAACTGCTTCAGGTGCGTTGTAAGTCCACGTTACTTTGAAATCACGTGTTTGGTATACTGCCAGTTTTTTATTATGTGGATTTTTAAGTTTACTGATCATCTGGTCATATTTCATTTTCAATTCTATATTACTTCTTGAATTTAGTGATTTACAGAACTTTATGTAGTCATGAAAATAGATCCTTGAGTGATTAGTTACTTATCTCTGCTTCTCCAGTCTTGCTATGTGATACCAGGTGAAGTGTTTCCAAATCTGTACATTTTAAGCAAGATCATTTTTAAATTTACTGAAGTCCTGGACACAACAAATGTTTTCTGATATCCGTGTTAAGTTGGCAAATGAATTTCTGAAGCCTTGGCTTTGAGACTGCAGAAGAATATTTCAGCAACTGTTTTATTTTGTTTGAGCGAATAGAAACGTTCACTCTGTGCAATTGTAATATTTCTTTTTTAAGGCAAAAGATCAGGCTATTGTGAATCTGACAAATCAACTTCATGACTGCAAAACAGTTGGCGTGGGGAGAAGCACACAGGCAACTCAGACTGATCAGACGGGGGAAAGTGTCGGTGACGCCTTTGAAGCCTACGCTTCCCAGAACAAGTTCTTGAATGAAGAACTGCTGGAGGTGAACCAGTTATTACAGGAGTCTGTGCGTCGGGAAGATAAATTGCTTGTGTACGTTTTATCAGTATTTTGTGGTCGCTTTACGGCTCGGTAGGCGAAAGTCTTACGCAGTACTGGCAGATTGCATGCGAATGTGTCACATGCTTGTATAAGCTGTGCTTGAGGTGTGTGCCTGCATGTATATGTGTACGAGGTTTCATAAAAGGTAGGGAAATAGATCCATTGATCTATTGTGTTATGTTCTCTATTGATGTATTCATGTGAAGCTGCAGGCATCTGTTATTGAGTGGATTCATTTGTGTATTTTATCGTTCTGCAGTGAAGCCAGTGAATGGGAGGCTCGCTTCTATCAGACCCAAAGCAAGTACATGCTACTTCTTAATGAACTACAGATACCACAAAGTAATGAGAACAGTATCAGGTTTCGTGAACTGATTGCTCGGCTTATGGGCGACTCTGTGACCGGAAGTCCTCCGTCGTTAAGGTGAGTGTCGCTGTTATTGCCAAGTTAAGTTGTAAGTTTAATAATTAATGAAAGCAATGTTGTGGTTTGCTTTCTCAGCTGAGACTGATGAAAAAACAAGGGAATGGAAAGAATCATATCAGGGGTTCTCACACAGGCCATTGTGGCGTAACAGCGTGTTTTTTTGCAGCCTGCACAAAACATGATGTAGGTCTGGAAATGATTGAGAACTTGTTAAGGATATAGTGAGAAGCTTTGTAATTCGTGTCCTTCATCTAGAGGTGTTATGAGAGATGTGTATATGCAAGAAATAAGCAGTGCGTACAAGGTTTTGTTGTGAAATTTGATGGCAATAGAAGAGCAGGTCTAGCTGTTGCTTAGAGGATGATATTAAAATTAATCTTAGAGAAATATGTTGTAAAGATGCGAACTGGGTTGGGTCGGTCCATATTATTGTATGGGTTGGGCTTTTACAATGAGCTCAGTATCAGCTGTTTGGGGAAAGTTAATGAAATCAAATCACACATAAATAAAGAGGAAACATAATTTTCTCTCATCCATCAGATTTATTTTGTAATAAGTTTGCGTTTGTGTAATGAACAGAGTAAAATCACTAGACAAAATATTTTGGTTTCAAACTTTTCTGCTTCTTTGTCAAGTGTTAATTATCCATCTAAAATTCCAGTTTTGTGCACAGTGCCTAATTATTCTATATATTTGTGTATTTTGTATAATTATTGGTCTTCGTATTCGTTTGTTACAAATTTGGATTGTTTGAGATATTCATTTGTTGGGTTTCTTACTCTACATGATGCAATTACGTGAAACAAACTACTGGCATAAAATGTAAGTGCTGTTTTCCGTGGTTTCTTGAATACTTTGCATCTCTCTTTTATGTTTTGAGTTCCATTTACATTTTTTTGTTACAGCTTTAAGTTGCAACACATCTGTTGAATGTAAGATTTGAGGTTTTCACAGAGGTAAGTATGAAGATTTCTGTCTTCTGGGTTGTTGCGCTGTGTAGTATGGTCGATGTTAACCAACGTTTCAGAGGTCATACTGCCGTTCCATTGAGGCCAGGGTCAGGGAGCACGAGCGCCACATCTGGCTTGGGCAGCCTGAAAAATCTGCAGTTGCTGAACATCGCTTCAACATGGGACACCACATATAGCTCGGGAACACTTTTATCCTCTCCACATAAACCGGCTACATGGATTGGATAATCAGGGAAGCCATCAAGATCGAATGACATCCTGATAACTTCAGCAGGGAAGATGGACTTCGCCTGAGCCAGTCCTGGAAGCCTCTTATTCACACTCTTCAAGGACTCCGAGAGCGAGCATGAGTGCACCGCCAGAACCAACCAAACCACTAACCTGGCCCTTTTCAGGGCCTCGATCACATTCAACCGAACTCCCATGTCCCACCGGACGCACTTCCCGAGCCCCCCTCTCTCCCTTTCCTTTCTCTCCCTCTCTCACACTCGCCCACACGCTCCTATTGGTCCACTCCCACACCTGCTCCCATTGGCTCGGGGCAGGCTACTCCATTCATATTCCGGCACCTACAAACCTAGCCCCATATTCATCGCCCTGATGACGGAGGCAGTATGACCTCTGAAACGTTGGTTAACATCGACCAGACTACACAGCGCAACAACCCAGAAGACAGAAATCTTCACGTCTGTTCAAATCACAGTGGAAAACTTAATTACTGAAAATATTATCATGTCTTGGACTGTAACACAAACTGTATGGATATCAGTAAAGAACTGAGATACTCCAAAGGCAATCGTAGATCACAATATTTACCCGGACTTTTAAAGCAACATTTTCAGAAGGAAGTCATGTTGTCATATTATATTTCTAGAATCAACACAGAATTTTAGTGCTAGGAGATCGTCTTAACAAATTACATACCTATTGGGCCATGCGTCTATATTAATATGTTTACCTGATATTTTCTCAAGAAACTTTTATTCTGCAGTTTTATGTAACAGTAATTTTCTCTGCCACCTGACTAGCCTGGCTTGGAAATTGATACTTGGATGAACATGTCTAACTCCGTGTAGTAGAAACCTTACTGACACTAATTCTGACTTACAATTCACTACATATTTGTGATCATTATGCCAGTATTGTGTTAGGCCTTGTCTCTTGTTTGAGGTCTGGTATAAACAGCGTTTTGCCCTAAGGTGATCGAGGTGTTACCATGCTAGCGTAACCTTCAAAAGTTCCAAAATCTGATCCCAACTTTCACTGCTGTTATAAAAAGGGTTTTAACAAATCTGTCAGTATAATGATAACCAGTTAGCCTGAAGACAAAAGTAAAGCCAACTCCTGAAATGTCGTATATATGGAATGTACTCCAATAGACAGTGGACGGTTTTCAGTGTAATATTTGAACAGTAGTCACTCACCTGGTAAAGTAATTATTTAGGTTTTATGGAACCTAAAGAAATTGCATTGACTTTGTAACAAGAGGCCACCTGTGGTTCTTGTCTTAGCCACATGAATCCTATCCTATATTTAAAAAAAAAAAAATTCTGTAAGATCTGTGTTGTTATTATTTCTTCTGTGTGTGGGTCTTACAAGTTGTCTTTTCCTTTCAGAATTTTTGACTGAATTTTTCTATACATATTTTACCCTTCATCTTAGGGAGGTTGGCTGTGAGGAAGGCAAATGGATGGAGTGGGCTCAGGGTCGTGGCCGATGACGGTCTTTAGTGTTGAGCCCGCGGGTTCTGCTACCAGGGAGTTGGTTATTTTACCCTTCTCACGTGTGCTACATGAACTACCCAATTATTTCCTTCATGTGCGAGAGAAAATTTCACACTGACACTAAACATGTCAGATTGTAGTTTTGTGTATTTTAATTTTTACATTGTGTGAGCTGCAGAGACGAAAGGACACTGAACAGAATGGGAGGAAGCACATTTACATGGAAAAATATGTTTTGTTGCAGAAGTTCCAACAGAACTTACAATGTGTATGGTTTCCAGCAGGATGTCGTGCTGGGAAACAGGTCACCAGTCGCACAGGTATGAAGTCTCACAGTTCCTTGTAGCAATGTTACTGAATCCCATGTATGGCTACCGAGACAGCGACTGGTACATTGCAAGGCATATGTACTGTAATGAGTAGGGTTCGGATGTTCATGACATATATTTTTATTGGGGGCTTCTATTTTCATTCTAAACTGAAATTAAACACTAATTGAGTGGTTCTAATCACAATTAGACTATTTATTTTGCATATAAATGCATATTTAGGTCATTTTTATGTTTTTGGTCATATTTGTTGTTAAATGTATATTTTGGTTATATTTTGAGGATAAAATGCATATTTTGATTATATTTAGGGTACAAAATTCTTACTTGTAACTACATTTCTCAGGCATTTACAGTGAGTCCTTCAGTTAGTTAAGATGCCGAAAGTGAAGTGTTCTGAAAGTGCGAAGTTAACAGGTTTCGTTAAAGATTTTGGTGAGGAATATTTTAGTTTTGATGGAACAATTCTGTTCTGTAAACTTTGTGAAGTTAAAGTTACAGCTGGTAAGCGATTTGGTGTGCAACAACATTGTGATACAGCAAAACATAAAAATAATTTGAGCTGACAAACCAAAGCAAGAAACGACTTCTGTTCGATAACACTGCAACAACTTCACCACCAAACAAAACGTGAGAATTTTCAAAGGACCTTTGTGAAATGATGGTGTCTGCCAACATACCAATGAACAAAATGAACAATGAGCAGTTTAAAGCTTTCTTGGAGAAATACACGACTCAGTTAATTCCAGACGAATTAGCGCTGTGAGAAAACTATGTAACTGTCTGTTATGAAGATGTTCTAAAAAGAATTACATGTATTGTGGGCGAGAATAAAATTTGGGTTTCGGTTGATGAAACAACGGATGTCTGCGGCAGATATGTAGTGAATGTTGTTACTGGCACGCTCTTTGCTGACCGTCCTAGTGACATATTCCTTCTTGATACAGTAAACCACTCGTCTATCGCTGTACATTTCGATAATGTCGTGAAACTCTTGTGGAAAGGCGACGTTAAGCGAGACAATATCCTCCTCTTTGTAACGGACGCTACACCGTATATGGTAAAAGCTGCCAAGGGCCTCAAAATGCTTTATCCAAAAATGGTCCATTCAACATGTCTCGCTCATGCCCTACACAGATTTGCCGAAGAAATTAGACGTAGTTATACTGAAGTCAACAAGTTGATCTCGAACGTTAAGAAAATGTTAGTTAAAGCTCCATTGACAGTGCAGAAATTGAAAGAACACGCACCTTCATTCCTCAGCCGGTACTCACTCGATGGGGTACCTGGCTCAATGCTGCTGAGTACTACTGCGAAAACTATGCAGTTATTGAAGAAATTGTTAACAATTTTGACAGCATTGAAGCATTTTCTATCAAAATTGTTAAAGAACTATTTTCCAGTAGTTTGTCAGGAAGTCTGTCTTATATAAAATCTAACTATGGAGGTATAGAAACTACAATTTCTCGCCTAGAGGCAGTTGGTGCAGATCTATATGAAAGTTTGGAGCTGATCAAGGGTCTAGAGTGCGAGATAGGGCGAGCAAGAGGCAAAATAGGTGATGCTGTGAGATCAAAATTTAATACAGTGCTGTGTCGAAATGATGGTTATGCTACAATGTGCAAAATAATCGACATTCTAAGCAGATATGAAGCTACACTGGGAAAAGATGAACCAGCGTTAAACAGCAATGATTTAACCCTCTTCAAATATGCTCCGGTGACGAGTGATTTCGAAAGGAGCTTCTCAAGTTACAAGACCATATTGAGCAGCAATCGAAGAAGATTTTCATTCGAGACCTTGAAAATGCACATCGTTATATATTGTAATACTGCCAAGAAAGAAAAATGAAGAAATGTACATAATATTTTGAATTTTGTTTACTTATTTATATGTAATTAATGAGTTTGATGAGCTGGGATAGCTCAGTCAGTATAGTGACTAGTTACGGGCTGGACGACCGGGGTTTGATCCCCGACGGGGGCAGAGGATTTTTCCTCTAGCCTCTGCGTCCAGACCGGCTCTGGGGCCCACCAAGCCTCCTCTACAATGGGTACCGGGGTCCTTTCTCGGGGGTAAAGCCGGCCGGGGCGTGATGCTGACCACTCACCTCCATCTAGTGCCGAGGTCAAGAAAGAGAGGAGCTATACCTCCACTCACCCCAAGTGCCTGTATGGCACTTAGCGGGACAAACTTTACTTTACTTTACAATTAATGAGTTTGATATGCATGAAAGGCTCTTCTTTTAAATTTATTTTCTTTTTATAGGAGCACGTATTCTCAACATCTGATTCTGATCCTAAACGAGGTATTTAAAACTTAAGGCGACTGAGGTTTTGATTAAAATTGCTAGGAAATCAAGTAATGTAATAGTTGTACATGCATATGTAAATAAATAACATGATTGAAACATAACAAATTAGGTCATATTTAGCTATTTTTGGGGCATATTTGCATGCATATTTCTCGGTTTTTTAGGTCATGATCATCCGAACCCTAGTAATGAGAATTTATAAAAATTCTGAAAAATGCTTATTCAAATCCAGAGACCAAGTGACATAAGTTGCCATATGACTGTAATGATTATTACCTCGAGTTATCTCGGGTCACTTTTAACTGTTCATAAAAATGAACTTCTTCGCCATCACAGCACACAAATGATTCTGCAGCTAGGATAAACGACTTCTATTACAGTACAATTAAATATTTTTTATCAGGGCACTTGCCAGTTATTTAATTTTTGTGGGTATGTTCCAATTGTGAAATAAAAAGGTATGATTTTTTTAGGTCATATTTTCAGAATAAAAAGGGGATCTAAGTTGTCATGGAGTTATGAAAATAATAAAGACTAATTTAACATTATTGATGTCAGATGTTAAAGATTTTCTCATACTTACATCATCTCTTGTACTTATAACTGTGCAAGTACTAAAAAGTGCCCATTACAAGTCTTGCCTTCCATATTCTACCCTTACTACGCAGTGCATGATTAGTGTGTCAATGTGTTTGAATCTCACTTGATTTACGTAGTACACAAGAAAGAAATGTATGTACCTACAGTACTTAGCAAGCTGGTACTAAATTCCACAGTTGGTACACAGTGGTTTTCTGTCATATTGAAGAGGTGATTGTATTTTATCTTTTTTCTTTGAAGTTGTGAACAGTGCTGAAGAAGTTGGTCGTGTCTTCCGAGTTCTGATGCCGTGTGGTCTCTTATATGTAGCTGCCAGTTTTTAACCAATGGTGACACTTTTATTTGGTACAAATACTGTATTACGCTCTTGCAGGCGTTGAATGCAAACCAGGTGGCCCAGTGGGATGGGATTGTAACTTCTTTAGACAATTTAGAGGTACAGCATGTCGCTGGTTTAAAGGCGTTGGTACGCAATGGGATTCCATATCATCACAGAGTAAGTAGCTCTTATCAGATTTATTCAATTCTCTTATGTTGACATAGTAATTAATCTCTCTTAAGTTTTCTCGTCTTCCCCAGTGAACTGCCTTTTTTTTTTTGTGGTTTATAGCCGTAGCTTATCGAAAGCGCATTCTGTGCGTAAATTTACAAGTGTGAAAAAGGTAGTGAATCATGAGTAATTTTATAATACACAAGTTGTGTTAATTAAAACCATTTGTGTTTGTGTTTTGTTAGCTAAAGGTTAAACAAAATGAAAGGGACCTAAACCATTTGTGAACCTTTAAGTTCTTTCCAGAAGAGTGTCAAGGAAATTTTTGCACTCAACCTTCGTTTTTCGCCTTGAAAGGAATGTATTGAGTTATGAAAGTATTGTGCTGACGTGTACCAATTTTTAACTCTGTGTGTTATTATTCTGTGGAGAAACAAAAGAGCATTGCTACAGTTATGTTGAATCTTTCTGTCTGTAATTTTATGGGAGAGGGGAGAAAGTGTTCTACGCAATCTTTGGCAGCCGTGGAAGCAGCAGAACGGTTTACAGTCCAGTGAAAACAGTAGCAGTAGTGGTTGTCACGGGAACCAGTACTATTCGATTGAACAATAGTGGAAGTTAGAGGAGGTCTGCCTCTTGTATTCAGTCTCCATTTTCTGCCTTGTTATGACAGTCACCACTCACAGATGTCGTGCGGCTGCTGTACTTGTAGTTTCATTTTTGTGGCAAAATGCGACACTTCAAGATGTGTGATTTGTTGTCACAGAATCACTACAACCATTGCTTTTCATCTTAAAAACTTTAAGTCTAGTACTTGAGTGAAAATTAATTTAAGAACTGTTGTGAGACTTATTAATGAGATTTTATTTATTTTTGTTTCATTCTTAAAAATCAGGTGCAGTTTATATATGCATGCAGTGAAGTATATTTAGACAGATCGTGAAAAAGATATTTATTCCGTTTGACAATAAAACACAACAAAAATTATTCAGTTCATTGATATTCCTATGTTTATCAGAAGTTGTGCTGAGAATATTTCTAATCAGTGGTTTAACATTTCCCATAATATACATTAAATACTTTTAATTAAATATAATTGAACATGTTCACAGTTTTATATAGTAAGTGGTGGTTTTATTAACATGATAATGAACTTTTGGATTTTAAAGAATGTGGGGAATTTCTTGACTAGCAAAGCTTCTGTTGGTTACTCAAGAAGATTCTGTTATGCAGTTAGTAGAAGATTTCAGTTTTCCATGTAGTTGCTATACCAGGGTTTAACAGAGACTTCAACGGTTAGCTTGTTTTTGAGACATCTTCTACTGTCTTGGACAGGGTCGGGTGTGGAAAGCAGTCTTGGAGCATCATCTTCGAGGATTTCGCAATTTCTGTGAACCTGAATACTACAAAACAGTTTTCCAAGTTGCGTCACACCCTCATACCTCCCCGGCAGCCAAGCAGGTAACTCTTTCATTATATCTGGATTTACAGTTGCTTGTGCCTTTTTTTAACATGTTGGCTCCCATGAGGGTTAGATTATGCAGGAACTTTTTTTGTAATTTTGCATTTTTAGAAATTGCATCTAGGAATGATTGTACACAAAATTTCAGCTGCTGACACGCTGTGTAAGAGCGTTAAGAAATTGCAATTCACATTTGTTCTGCTGTGCATATACGCGATGGGAGCAGTTGCCTGGTATTCTCGGGCACATTTCTTCAAAGCGCGTGTTCTGGGCATTGATAAGGCTGTGAAAGGCTTGAGGAATGTCACACTCACGTGCGCACACACGCAGAAATATATACTTATTAAGTATCTACATAATTGTATATTATGCAGGGTATACACAAAAGAATGGCGTGGTTTCAAAAGTTAATAAAAAAATTATTTCTCACCTTACACGGGCACAACATACCGTGTAAGGTGAGAAATAATTTTTTTATTAACTTTTGAAACTGCACCATTCTTTTGTGTATACCCTATAAATGAGTCAGATCTTACAGAAAGTGTATGAGAAAATTGCATACAAAATTATGCGCTGTAATTGTCACAGAAATGTGAAACATCATTAGTGTGTTTGAATCTCATGTTTAATTTGCACTACAAGTACTGAAATAAAGATCTTTGTGCACATTCCTCTAGTTGGCAAGTGTGTCGTGTTCTCCTTGTTTCTTTGTCTTGTTGTGGTGCTGTGGAGAGAGTGTGATACGTGGTCTGTTGCAGATTGAAACTGATCTCCTGCGCACATTGCCCAACAACAAGCATTATGAGTGCATAAGCGCAGATGGCATTCCAAAGCTCCGCCGCATTTTGCTTGCTTTCAGTATTTACAATGCAGATGTTGGATACTGTCAGGTATAATAACAGTATTTCTATTTTCTCTGTCCCAGAAGTTGTCATTATGTATGTGTGATTGCGTAAATCGCTCGATTCAGAAATGTTTCCTTTAATTAGTAAGAACATTGTGGTAATTATTTGTATATCATGCTTCATGTTTTCTGAATGATAACAAACATTTCCCATCTTTAATCTGTTCATAATTTCTTGATGAATCCAATTTGGATTTGTTGCTTTCATTCCCAAATATTTGGACTTCCCCACATTTTGTAAGGATTTACTAATGGCCTTCATATTATAATTTTGTCCTGCGTTGTGGTGATGAGCCAATATCAGTGTAACAGTGGGAGTACATTTTTAACTGGTAAGACTGTACGGTGCAGCAACCCAGCAGACAGCCATCTTCAAACTCACCACCGTGCAAACTTCAAATCCTACATGATATCAGTTGAACTGAAATAGAGCAAAAAGTATTATTGTTATTATTATTATTGTTGTTGTTATTTCATTGTCCTTTTTTCATTTTGTTACAACAAAGTAGAAGTGCAGTAATGCACCTGATTTCAATTTTGGAGATGTCCGTAACTCAGCCAGGGCACGAGTTATAGAGATGATGGTTTTTGTGACTTTCCTCATTTCTTGGTCGCTGCAAATGACTTGCTATCCATTTCATCTTATTCCACCTCCAGTGTTAATAAACCTCGCAGTGATTTAATTAAATAAGGTTTAAACAAGACAACCTCGGTTGTTGCCACGTGGCAACGTGTGTTTCCTTTTCTCTTATCTGCATGCACAGTTACGGAATATGTTTTTATTTCCAGGGTTTGAACAGGATAGTCGCAATACTGTTGTTGTTCTTGTCTGAGGAAGATGCCTTCTGGGGCTTAGTGTACATCGTGGAGAAGCTGATGCCTTCAGACTACTACGGCCCGCAGCTTGCAGGAGCTCAGATCGATCAGGTATGCCCCAGAGCAATATCATTTCATCTTTATATTTGTAAGATATTTTGAATGGTTCAGATATTCTGGGGCCTTGTAATGTCTGGGGCAGCTTTGCGTTTGCCAAAATAATGTCTTAACTGGGTTTGAGGCCCAGCAGAACAGAATTTTTCTCCAACCAATACATCCAGGCCTGTTTAGCCTCTTGGCCATTTGAAAACAGGATGATGAGAGGCGAGCTGTCATTGTGACCCTCCGTCTGCCTCTGCCCATCACTGCTCATTGTATCTCAGACCTTCTGGCTGTTGTGATGAAGAAAGAAATCCTCCACTGAGATTGGAATCCGAGCCGTCCAGTCCGTGACCTGTCACTTCAGTGATTGAACTATCAAATCTCCGAAGACAGTCTGGTAGAAGTTTCTAGCTGCCTCCATCATCAGGGCAATGAGTCGTATCATGTCTCCCTTTATGTGAGGACTTGGAATTTTTAAATGTTCATATTTTAATATTTTCCGTCAAATCACAATTTTAATAAGATAATAAAATATAAAATATTTAAAATATAATTTCACGTTCCGCATCGGATGATCGATTTACAAATTGGAACGTCTCTTACGACATGTTTCGGTTATATTTAACCGTCCTCAGGTATAAATTAGATTGGTAAATTTAAAACTCGAATTACAATCATTTACAATGTTATGCAGTTTATTGAAATGTTCTTATCAGATTACTCTTATATATTAGAACGAAGGTATTGTTTTTTATATGGCGTGGTTCATCTGATGATATGATATTTTAAATATTTTATATTTTATTATCTTATTAAAATTGTGATTTGACGGAAAATATTAAAATATTAACCTAATTCACAATATGACGCAAATATACTACCTTTTAAATGTTCTTTGTGCTGTAGCATGAGCATAGAAATACCGTATGGGCCCTTCCACGTCAGTCGTTCACATCCTACATGACCCAGAG